TGGATAAGCGACCGGATCTTGAGTCTTCGGATATGGCACCTTATCTATTAGGCAGAATAGTTAGTGCCTGTTCTATGACGTATGAGGTCTTGCACGTGATATGTGTGCTTAAGATGTACACGTGAATAGTCACGTGATCACGAAGCGAGCAATAAAATAATGTGGAATATTACGGTTTGTGACACTACCCCCTCTTTTGGTATGAACTCCGTTGAGTAGCAGATACTTTCGTTATGACCAGTGAATTGTTATGACAAATTCGAACATCCCCACTCTTATTCGGATTTGGATAACTCGTCGTTGGAGTCGTTCATATGTGAGTTGGTGAAGTTCGATCATCTTCAGAAGGTCAATGGTGAAATAGGATTGGGTTTCAAGCGTGATGTGCTTGTGCGGCAGCTTGTTCGACTTTGTGCATTAGTGACATGGCCAACTTGGTTCTGTTTATAGCAATAATTCCGAAGGCTCAGTACTTCGCGTACCGGTTCGTTCCTTTTTGGAGTCTTGTTGAAATTTCATCTGCCTGTTGAACCAAAACCACCCTGGGCACGAATACATGCTGCATTGCGTCGTGCTGTTATATAAGCCTCCTTCTCCTCTTTGTTGAAGAGGTACTGCTCGAGAGGCACAGGTAATAGTATGCGCTCAACAATAAGCTGAGCAATTTGGTCAGAAATATTGACCGTATAGGGAAGATCGGTTGCGTTGGAGAGTATTACTTTAACCTCTCCTCGGTAGTCACAGTCTATTACCCTGGCTTGGGCATCTATTCCCTTAAGTGCCATACTGCTCCTTGAAGCAATTCGAGAGTATGTTCCTGGTGGAGGTTTAATTTTGAGTCCTGTGGACACTAGTGCACGAGAATGTGGTGGTATGATTATGCGATCAGTGGCGTATAAGTCAAGGCCAGCTGATTCAGTAGTAGCGCGTAATGGTAGTTTGGCTTCTTCTGTCAGTTGCTGTGTCTGTAGGTATCCGTTTCCGGATACGACCACGTCATGAAGTTCTCTTTCTCTGGGAGTCATGTCGTCAAGTTGGCTGGGCTATCCTGAATATCTCAGCTCGTGTCATAAGTAGGATCAGGCGGCATCGTTATCACCATGATCGGAGCTGTTGGATGTTCTTCGTGAAATTCTTTAATTAATTCCGTGGCATTACCCAGATTAGCAACTGGTTCCCATGAGTTTTCTTCATCTCCATATCCTTCCCATTTGACAAGGTATTGCAATTTCTTGTGCATAATCCTTGAGTCTAGTATCTGTTCTACTTCGTATTCGAGTTCTTTACTGACGGGTATGGGCGCTGGTTGCATGTGTCGCCGTTTGGATATAGTATCCTCCACAAAGGGTACCAATTGGCTAGCATGAAACACTGGGTGAACAGAAATGTTTTTTGGTAGGTCTAGCCTGAAAGTGACGGGACCTAACTGTTCCTTAATTGTATAAGGACCAGCACGGTGGGGGTTGAGTTTCCTTTCCACCGTTTGCCAATTGCGGGTGTCAATCATTACACGATCTCCTTGTTTGAAGGGGACCTTGGCAATGTGCTGGTTATAATACCATTTCATTCCTTCCGCCGCTAGGATGAGTGCTGCCTTGGCTTGCTCTTGTGCTTCTTTTTGTGCATTCTCATATTCGCTGATCTCCGGATGTGACGCTGACTTGGTCACTGAAGGTCCTGCCTGAGGATGACGCCCATATTTGATAAAGAATGGTGAACTTTTAGTACTTTCGTGCGCCTAGTTATTATATGCAAATTCCACGGCTGGTAAAAACTTTGACCAGTCATTTGAATGATAGTTGCAATGACAGTGTAAGTACTGTTCCAGGGATTGGTTGACCCTCTCAGTTTGTCCGTCCGTTTGCGGATGGTATGCGGTTGACATGGACGATTTGATGCTCAACAATTCGCACCATTCTTGGAATAGTTTGCTAGCGAATTGCGGCCCTCGGTCACTAATGATCTGGCTAGGAAGACCATGTTGGGTCCACACACATTCATACATGAGGTGTGCTAGGTCCTTTGCCGAGAATTCATTGGTGATCGGGTAGAAGTGAGCGCGTTTGCTAAATCTATCCACCACAACACAGATTGCATTGTGTTTGTCCGACTTTGGTAACTGAGTGATGAGGTCTACCGTTATAATATCCCATGGATGTTCTGGTACGTCATTGGGTTGCAGCGGACCATATGGTGGCTTTGTGATATTTTTGTTTCTTTGGCAAGTTTCACATGCCGAAACATATCTTTTGACATAATACATCATTTGAGGCCACCAATAATTCTGGGATAGGTACTCGTATGTCTTCCACCTGCCAGGATGTCCGGCGGATGGTAAGTCATGGTGTATTTTGAGTACCTCGTGCCTTAGAGATTCCTCCTTGTCCGTCTTAGGTACATAAACTTTTCCTCGATAAAGCAATAGTCCATCTTTGAAGTTCCAGTCTTCGAGTCCTTTTGAGAACTCCCTTTCACCTTTCTTGAGTAGTTTCTTGTATCCTTTGGTCACATCGTCATCTTTTAGTGCTTCTTTGATCCTGGTAAGGAGTCTGTCGTCATCTATCGGAGCCTCATGTGAGGGTTGCATTGCTCATATGGCAAAATATTTGGGCTTTAGCATTGTTTTTGAGCGGTTGTCGTGCTCTACCCCCTCTTCATGATCTGGTCTCCTGGACAGAGGATCCGCGTATAGCATGGTTGTTCCAGGTTGATGCTGCAGATTAATGTTGAAACGGGTCAGATATAGCGACCATCTTGCCTGCTGGCGAGTTAACTTTTGCGCTGATTTGAAATATGTAAGGTTCTGGTGATCGGATATGATCTGCACAACCTCGGGGTGTCCTTCCAAATAATGTCTCCATTCTTCAAGTGCTCGAATAATGGCGAGCATTTCTTTATCGTAAATCTCGTAGTTACATTCATGCTCATTGAGGAACTTGGAATAATAGGTGACAGGATGATATATTCCGTCGTCGGACAGTTGTTCCAGAACAGCACCAGTGGCGAAATCGGACGAGTCCATTTCTAACCTAAAGGGCTTGTTATCCTCAGGAATCTTAAGGATTGGAGCCGTTATAAAGGCTTCCTTGAGTGATTCGTAGGCGTTTTGCGCTGCGTCACTCCAGATCCATTCCTGAGATTTCTTGGTCAGCATGTTAAGAGGTTTGGCTATTTTTGCAAAGTCTTTTATGAAGCGCCTATAAAAGTTGGCGAAGCCTAGGAACGCCTGTACTTGTTTGACTTTTGTCGGTACTGGCCATTCCAATACAGCTTTGACTTTGGATTGATCCATCGATACAGAGCCTTTAGAGATAATCATCCCGAGATATTCAATAGATGATTGTTCGGAAAAGCACTTTTCTGGCTTAGCAAACAAATCGTTATCCCGGAGACGCTTGAGCACTTCCTTAGTTATCTTGCGATGAGTTAATATATCATCGGTAAAGATGAGTATATCATCGAGATAGACCACAACGTGGCCTTCCAGGATTAAATCCTTTAAGATCTCGTTCATCATCGCTTGGAACGTGGCTGGTGCGTTGCAGAACCCAAAGAACATAACATTTGCCTCAAAAAGACCACGATGTGTGGTAAAGGCAGTTTTCCATTCGTCTCCTTCTTTGATGCGGACATTATTATACCCCCATCGAAGATCCAATTTGGTAAATATAGAGGCCTTTGATAGTTGATCAATAAGGTCGGAGATTCGAGGAATAGGAAAACAGTTCTTTGTGGTGATTTCGTTGAGTTTACGATAATCCTGCACCAGTCGTAGAGTTCCATCCTTCTTTTTAACGAAGAATATGGAAGCAGCTACTGGGCTCTTTGATTTTGTAATGTAACCTTTTGCCAGTTGCTCATCGATCCATGAATCGAGTGAGTTTCGCTCGGCGGGGCTCATTGGATACCCCTTTGCAGGTCTTGGAAGAGGTGCACCTTTTTTGAATTCGATGGAATGGTCATAGACTTTATGCGTGGGCATTTGCTCACTAGCCTTCTTTGAAAATACATTTCCATAAGCGTGCAAATGCTTTGGAACATGTCTCGACCAATCCTTATGATCTGTGGTTTCTTCATCCTCTTCATCTGTCCATTTCCCCGTGTCTGTAATTGCCATTACTAGACGGGCTATTTCTTCGGCTTCTGGGTCTCCTAGTTCGACCCAGTTGATGAATTTGTTCTCATCCCCTCCTCCTTCCATTGATTGGAGTGGAACTGATCGTTCATTGCAACCTTCCTCATCAAGAAGTTCCTCTGTCTCTTCTTGAGATACTTTTTGTATAAATTTTTTACGCGACCCATTTATGGAACACAATTCAGGGCACCTGGTAAACTTCCATTGACCGGATTTCCAGTCAATTTCTGGGTTATGCATATGTAGGTATGTCATCCCAAGGATCATATCCTTATCGCCTAGATTGGTGACAAGACAACGATGAGTCGATCCATGATCTTCGACCTTTAAATAGGCTCGCAGATAGTATAGGATTTGACCATCTTTGTTGATTGATCTGTCTGCGTTATAGACGTTGTATGGAGTTTCCAGCTTGTAAAGATTCAATCTGTGTTCCCTAACGAACTTCTTGTTCACAAAGATTGAATATGCCCCTGAATCTACTAGGGCCTCGGTGCGTACTGCTTTTCCTGATACTCACAGTTCCACAGGTAAATTGAAGATAGATTTGGTAGAGGAGCTATTTTGTACCATTACACCTTCGGGAATGTGGTTAATATACATATTTGTAGATGACTTATGTCCTCGGCTTGACCCAGCCGGATTACAGAGATGGATATCGGAAAAGTTGTTGGCACCAGGGGATGTCACTGTTTCGCGCATTACAGTGCTCCCTGCCAAAAAGATGACAGCCTTGATGCGGCTGGTTTGTTTGCCTGGAGCGTGTCAGGCTCTGAGGACGTCAAGCGTAAGTGAGGGTACTTGGCCTCGAGACGAGCTAACATCTCGAGGTCAGTTTCTTCCTCATCGTCAGTGGCTACTTCGCGAATTCGCGCCACTGCGAGTCTCGACGATTCTGCCTCCTCCTCCTCATCATCCGTGACCTGCATTTCTATGCGTCTGACAACCGTCTTATATTTCTTTTGACGTTGCATAGCAGGTTCGGACCCCTTCGTTCCCCCACCTCCTTCCTTCTCCTTCCATTTGCCCTCCTTGATCATCGCTTTCTTGTATTCTTCGCAGCGATGACCGTACTTCCTCTCCTTCTTGCAGTATTTGCATACGGACGACTTCTTGTCCGTAGCGTTGACTTCCCCCTTGGTTGTCACCTTCCCTTTCCCTTTGCCTTTGTTCTTTACCTCGTCTACCTGCATGGCATCGGGGTCTTTCCTTGAGCTTGTGGTCATGAACGTGTGCTTCATGCGGCGTTCAATGTCCAAGTCCCAATCGAGGTAAGCCTCCCATGTGGTAGGCCACTGCGCCTCGTCAGTTCCTGCATGTACTTGCAAGATCTTGTCGGGCATGATGCGGCAGATCTTTTCAATAAGATCTATGTTGGATAAGTTGGACTTGTTAGCCCACTTCTTGAACTTGTCAGCAAATTTGGACATATCTGTCCAGGGATTCTTGGTGAGGCGTTCAACCTCAAGCCGTGCCTCTCGCGGCTTGTCCTTGGTGTCATAAGATACTGTGAGCCATTTGACAAAGTCGGCCCACGTCCCGAGTGGCTGTTAATTTTGGGACAAAGTGTAGTAGTTGTCCATGTAGTCATGGGCATCCCCTTCAAGGTACGACAGGGACAGCTTTATTCTAAGCTGCTCGTCGGTGACATCGTCCAGGTATAGATAGACCTGTTCGAGCCATTCCTTGATCTTAGGGGCACCATGACCTGAGAACTTCTCAGGTGTGGCAACTTTCTGTTTTGGTCGAGTCACGGCTGGAGGGGCTGGAGGGGCTACTGCCGCTTGCCCTGCTTGCAAGCCTTGAATGGCTAGTCTTAGCAGGGCTATTTCAGCAGTATTGGCATCGAGCACTGCTCGCTGCCTGGTTTCTACGTCAATTACACTTTGACCTAGCTGCTGTTGCGTAAATAGCGACTGAGAGTGTGTCGCTAGCAGCCAGTCCCTTGCTGCTCCCGTAATTTCCACTGGGACATTTGTGACAAAATCATTGTACACTGCCAGATACGTGACATTCAGTGAACCGGATTGATTCGTCAGAGACATGATGTGTGTTTGCGGGGTTAGAGGTGTAGGTGAAGGTAATCGCGGATGTGTGATTGAGGATGTGATAACTTGTGAAGAGGTTGAAGGTTCCTCTTCTGGTGGTGGTTGAAATGTTTGCCCAAGGCTCAAAGATTCCGATTCCGACAAGGACGATCGTGATGATGAGGATGAATAGGTGGTGTCACCAGTTAAGCCGTAGCTCATTCACGGTTTTAACCCCTCGAGTCCTCGGATGTATTTTCCCAGGAGTTATACGATTCGGGTTCAGATACTCTTGACCCATTGCTCGATTCTTCTTCGTCTTCATCGTAAAGGAAAGTCCGTGATATTTGCAGATATCTTTGCTCTCCTCGATCGTTTATTTCTTGATGACGTTCCTCTCAATGAAGGTTTATTATGTCGTCGGGAGAGTGTGAGCGCTCTGTGTCTGGAGCAGCTAGTGTGGCCTGTGACCGTCTCATCCGAACACTAGATATCAAGAGATTGTAGGAGTATTGGTCTAGGTGACCCTCCTGCTGTAGTCGATTGATTTGTGCTTCAATTCTTCGAAGCAGGTCCTGAGCTTCTTTGTACTCTCTTTGCTGTCGTTCAGCCTCAGCGTCGTCCTCCTCTTGGAGCGAGTCTAGCGCTTCCTCTACAATGTCCAACCACTCGAACCAATTGTCATAGTATCGGACTTGTGAGTTTAAGAGGCTAGTTTCTTGAATGACAGCGTTGTGCCACTGATGGAAGGGAATGAGGATGAATTTGACGGTGTAGTTATCGAAGAAGTCGGCTCCAATGAGTCGATGGTATCGATCGAAAGCTATTTCAGCTCGCTCTTGTTCTATTGCTGGGATGTCGTCTATAATTTCTTGTGCGGTCCTAAGTGGTGCGTCTTCAAACCCAAAAGCGAAGCTTTCCATGTACAAGTTATACGGTTATGAATATCACACTTGGTGCTACTCGTGCTACTCCCAGCTTGAACTTCTCATATATCTCCTTTACCAGCTGCTTGATGGACCCCTCCTGCTTCTTCCTGTATCCTACGAAGTCACAAAACTCTTTGACTATGTGCTGATGCACTGTAGACAATGCATAAGTGGCGATTGTCCGCTTTACACCCTCGAGTCCCTCGACGATTTCAAAAAGGTGGCGGAGTTCTTCACCTTCGAGCTTGCATGCATAACGCCTGGTGAGGAGAATGCGTATCTGGTGGAGAGTGCCGATGATGCGGGATGTGCTGATAACCGTTAGGGCTATAGGCGAAATGTATCTAAATCCGCTGTACTCGTTTCCGAGGGTGACGTCAGTGACTGGTCCCCTTTGAAGTACTCTGGAAGATGTGGATGGTGGAAAGCATTCTCTGTATGAATGCGGCGGTCGCCCCCCTGTGCCTATATGTCCTGGCGTAGGGTATTGAGCATGAAAAACCTCCTGATTCTTCTGCTCTCTTTCCTCGAAGTCTTCTGGTACGAACTCTGTACCTGGCAAGAGTGCTAGATGGTAGAACTCGTCCAGAGTCCGGCTTCGGGATCGGCGGATAGTATCAACTTCTCGGGTGCGCAGCAAAGTGCGGCTTACATGGGTAGAGTCGGCGACTGACAGAATGTCAGGTGAAGATATAACACTGCTATCATGCAGGTGGACGCCGATAGATCGGATGCGCTGTGTGCGGGGCACTACAGGCATAATTAGCAGACTTATCTAAATGTCACGAAGACCCAATATCAGACGAAGTCCAAAGTGTCTTACTTGCTTATGTTGGATAAGGTGAAGTGACGAAGGTCATAGACTATAAAAGGCGAACTGGACTTGTAGGGGAAGTCGCAGTTGCAGTCAAGTGTATCGAGTATTGACGAAGGTAGATAAGTCTGGGGGTGTAAACCCAAACGACCCCAGTATATATACAAGCAGGGTCAGACCCCTGATACACTGTCTACCGGGACCATGGACATGCCTACAGTGGGTCCATGTGAACGGTGAC